ATCAAAATTAATCCAGGTTCTATTTCCTCTAAATTATTAATGTGATCTGCATTTACTATTGAACAATTATGTGGGCTATTAGTTACTAATTTAGGAATACATGTATTGTTTGTTATATTGGCTACATTAGATTCTAGACATAATTCAATATCATTTATTTTTTGACAAGGACTTTTAATTCCAAATGTTGCTCTTTCACATTTTACAATTTTCTTATAATCAAGATTTAAAACAGTATTTTGATTTTTTACAGGTCTTATGGTTATGACATTACAAATTTCTTTTACAGTTTTGGGAATGCTTATAATGTAAATTATATTAGTACTATTGTTTACAATTTTTATTCGTGCGAAATTTAAAGCTTGTTCAATGTTTTGAAACGGGATTTCATCTTGATTAAATATTTCTTCTATTTTTCTAATTTCTATTTCCGATAAAATAAATGTGTTTACAATGTTGGATTTTGTTGAATGAATGGCCGAATTAATATTCGTTATTTCCTCCTTTAAAATTTCAACTTTGTACTTTGCCTGCAATATGAGGGTATTACGGAAGTCCTCACTAGTCTTTAAAATTTTTGAAATACTATTTGTCGCATTCGTTATCTCCTGCATTCTTTCTATTAGATCTCTGTTGATTATTAACTGGTTATTGCTGTTGTCTGTTAACTCATTGATTTTGTTTTTCAAAAGCATAAGGTCATCATGGTCTGGACTACCTGCCAGCCATTTCCACGCCGTTCCAATCTCATCAAGAGATCTTTTAGATCTCTCTTCAGGCATTAGCTGATTTATAAGGTGAGATAGGGTAGTGATGTCATTATGTAGGAAGGGGAGTAGTGGGTGGTTGTCTGGAATTCCTTTGGCCAAGTCGTCCTTGATCCTCTCTAGAGTGTCATGATATTCCTTGATGTTAATAACATGCAAAATTTTGAATGTCCCCGTTTGTATTTTTCCTATTCCACTCTCTATAAGAACCACTTCTGATTGAGAGTAGTCCAATATTTCTGTGACCCCTAAGCAACCTGTAATTAAGAACTGGAAACCCGGTAAATAAGTAAGTCAGTTTCTGATATGACTCTTATGGACTATTCTCCCTGATTGAGTCAGGACAGTTGAGTGGCTATTCTCCTTTACAACTTCTTCTTTGAAACGTTTAGATAATTTGGTTCCTAATCTCTTGTTCTGTTTGACAAATATTTTCTGACCTTCTTGATATTCTTTTGGTTCTTCCCTAACACGATTATGATTTGCCAAATCATTTTCCTGTTTCCTCAAGAGTCTTTCGTAGTTGTTAAGGCGAGTCCTTTCGTAGTCCTCTGGTCCAAAGGTCGTTGGTCGTCCAAAAAATAGATCTACGGGTTTCTTTCCAATTGACGAATGTATTGTGTGATTGTACTTGTTAACGCTATCTTGCAATAGCTCCTCAAAAGAGTAATCGGGTCGCTCACACTTACTGCAACGCATAATTTCCGATAAGGTCGAATGGAATCTCTCTATTTGCCCATTAACCTCGCTCTTATAAGGCGGTGCCGTAAAAATTTCCATGCCAAGTTCGTCTTCCAACATAAACCGAATGGTCTGAGAATTGAAAGATCGCTCGTTATCAAATACAATTGACTTCGGGACCCCAAAGTAGAAAATTATTTCTCTCAATGGTTTCCTAATGTCTTCAATGCCTTTGCCATTTATCATTCTGGTTACTGCGAATTTTGTAAATTTGTCTATTGCGGTTAAAACTCGAAACTTGTCTGTAGAGAAGATATCTATGTGGATTGTATGCCCAGGATAAGTTGGCATAGGTGTCTTATTAAGTTTGGGAGCGTTCGGATGTCGCTCATACTTATTTTCTTTACATACTTTACAGATATTGATCACATTCTTTATTTTCCTAGTCATGGAAGGGAAGTAATAGCTCTCTAAAATTTGTCTCCTATTCTCGGCATTATTCCTATGTGCTCTGTTGTGAGTCTCAATAATGATTTGTTTTTGTCTCTCCTCATCAGTAACATCTTCAACCATTGTTCGAGCGAAACGTACTTTAATGTTTCTGAAGTGATGAGGGTACAGTGCTTGAATCATAAGCATAACTGGCTCTGAGGTCTTGATGCCGTTGACTTTCAGATCTGATTCCGCTAGACTGGTTTCTTTAATGATATGTCTATGGTAGGAGGGAAATACAATGTTAAATTCATATGAGGAAGCTGATGATTCCTCAATAATGATCTGATTTTTGAAGGTATTTATTGGCACCTCAGCGGAAGGAATTAGGTCTTCCGATGAGTCCTCGGCACTGTGAACCGTGGGCGTTAGGGAGTTAACATCTGTCACTGGTGGTCTCGATAGCGTGTCCGCGACTACATTCGTGCTACCTGGTTTATAAATTAACTCGTAATTATATTCTTCTAACTGTGCCTTCCACTTCTTCATCTTCACATTTGTGTTCTTGTTGCTTAGCGCAAATGTCAAAGGTTGATGGTCGGTAAATATCTTTATGCTTCTTGCTCCATACAAGTAACAATTCAATTCCTTTAAAGCCCAAATTATCGCCAGCATTTCTTTCTCATTTGTCGCATATTCCTCTTCTGCCCTACTGAGAGTTCTAGAAAGGTATGTGATAGGTCTATTGCCTTGAGATAAAACTGCTCCTAAAGCGTATTTCGAGGCGTCAGTAGTGAGTTCAAAGGGCTTATCAAAGTCGGGATAGTTCAAAACGACTTCCTCCGATACCAAACAGTTCTTGAGCTGTTTGAAACTTTCAATCTGTTCGGAATTCAAATTGACACTGATTTTTTTTGACTGGTTTCTCGGGGTTTTCCCTATATCGCCTCTCATCATGGAAGTTAATGGTTTGGCTATTTGAGCATAGCCCCTTATGAATCTCCGATAATGTCCAGTCAAACCTAGGAACGATCGCAAGTCATGAACTGTTCTGGGTTGAGGGAAATTAACTATGGCCTTAAGTCTGTCTGGGTTTGCAGAAAAACCTCCTTCCTTTACATTGAACCCTAAGAAGTCAATTTCTTCCTTTAAGAATTCACTCTTGTCCAAATGAACTTTCAGATTAGAGTCTTCCAAAGTGCGGAATATTATCCTCAAATTTTCAATGTGTTCCTTTTTAGTCCTACCAAATATCAAAATGTCATCAATGTAGACGTAGCACCGTTTCCCTATATGCTCTCTAAGAATATCATCTAGAGCTCTTTGGAATATTGCAGACGCGTTACGTAGTCCAAATGGTAGTCTTGTGAACTCGAACTTTCCATTCTTGACGGAAAAAGCTGTTTTCTCAATATCGGATTCCCTAAGTGGAATCTGATGGAATCCGCTCTTTAAATCTATGGTGGAAAAGTATTTCTGCTCGCCTAAGTTAGCCAAGATTTCTGTAATTTCAGGTATGGGGTATCTGTCAGGTCTAGTTATCTCATTAAGTTTCCTATAGTCAATAACCATGCGGTATTTTTTCACACCTGAAGCATCTGGTTTTTTTGGTACTATCCAAACTGGAGCATTATATGCGGACCTGGAAGGGCGAATTATCCCGTCCCTTAATAGTTCTTCTATCTGTTTGTCAATTTCGGATTTTAGTGCCATTGGATACGGATAGGATTTTGAATAAACTGGACTATCACTACTCGTATTAATTTCAGCTTGTACGATTGTTGAATAAGTGAGTTTTTTATTGGGATCTGCAAAAAGGTTTGGATGGTCATCCAAAATATTCCTGACTTCTTTTTCATCTTCGGGATTTAGATGATTTAAACGTAGATTCATGTTATTAATCTCATCAATTTGCAGCTCTTTCAAAGGAAATTTCTTTCCATCCAGAATTGTGAGATAGGATCTCCAAGTGTAAATCACTGCATTCAAAGATTTCAGGGTATCATTCCCTATTATCCCATCAAAGGTCTCTAGACCA